TTGTAAATGTTAATAGAGCTCGATGCCCCTTCTGATATTATTGATGTCGATATATATAACCATCCATTACAAGAGAGATCTCACAAGATCTCTTATAAGGAATATACACACGTAATATTCTATGTATAAATAGATTCGTATATATCTACTTTAACATTCCCTTCAGTTTTAAAATCAAGAGGACATAGTGTTTCATTTTTGCCATCAACTTCATCACCGTTGTAGTTTGTAACCGTGGCCCGAGAAGTAAAAGAAAAGCGAGTCGCCAGAAGTACGTACATCCCTCCTGCACAAGCCAATACAAGGCCATCCTTATGTTTTGCTTGGTCGGGATATGACTTGGATGAGTTTCTTCCTCTGCATCAACACTTATATATATGAGTGAGCTGCAAGAAACAAAGAAACTTAAGAAGAAACTTACGAGATAGAAATAATACCGGTGAGCATGATAATGGAATCAGAGGGGAATTTGAACTTGTTAATAAGAAGGTGTTGCATGCATTTTGCGTCTTTGAGGCAGCTTTTGAGCTCGGAGGGAGTGTTAAAGTACGAAACACCACAGATCACGGCCCTCTTCTTGCCGTCTGGGTGAGGTAGCTGACCGGGAGGAGGAGATTGGATGCGGGGAGAGGCAGCGATATGAGTAACGGCCTTGCAGAGAGCGCAACGAATGGAGAGATTATTCTTTGAAGGAAACATATCACCAAAGAAGGGAAGACGAGAGGTGCAAGACGATTTGGGTTGGACTCTGTTATAACGACTCTTAGAGCATCTGCATTGGAGACATTTTGTATGTGTCTTTAAATATAAAATTATTAAAAATTGAGTAAAAGGAAAAAAGAGAATATTTTTAATTGAAATAATGAGGTGTATTAAAATATAAAATTAATAAAATTTGAGTAAAGAGATGAGATAGTGGGTATTATTGGAGAGAGGATGTCTTGGGAAAGACAAAATTGGAGAGAGAATGGATAAAAGTTGGAGTGTGTTTAAATATAAAATTAATAAAAGTTGAGTAAAATGATGAAAGAGAAGGTATAAAGTTGAGTAAAAAAAAGAGAGAGTGTGTTTTTAATATTTTTTTATTTAGAGACATCCACGTTTGGTATTCAATGTGGATGGTCTTATATATCATGAGAAAGTTGCTAACCAAAATATAATAAAGTAAAACCAGAATCGACCCTATTGAGTTTTGTAAATTCTCACACATTTTACTTCTGATATGTATGTTTAATTTGCATTGAAAAAAATAAAGGAAGGAATTTAATTACTTTTTCGGTGATAGAGGAATTGATTCTTCATTAGGATTATGACCCTTTCTGGTCAAAGAAAGACCGGTGAAACCTTCCATCAAAGTTCGTAGACGAGAAGCAGATGACGTGGGAACCGAGGTGGATGAGACTAGTTGTCTCTTCGTTTGCTATTATTACATTTAATGTCATCCAACATTTTCATGCATGCTCTGTTATACTATCTTTTAAAAACACTGTATGACTTCGGCATTTAACTTTTCAATTTCTCTAAAAATATATTTCCGGTTAAAACAAAAAAAGATCTGATTCTTCATCGAAAAAAAAACTAAACTAAAGCATAATCATTTCTTAGGACATAAACTAAGCATATATCATTTTTAGGGCATAAACTAAGCATATATCATTTTTGAAAAAAAAATACTATCATAAAATCTTTGTAAAAAACTTTGGGACATTTGCAAAAAAATGCCACTTTTTGTGTCCACATTTGTAAAAATGCCACTTTTGGTGTCAATTTGCAAAAATGTCACTAATTATGTTTTTTTAGAGTTTAAATCTTAAAATTTAAACTCTAAAAAATCTTTTGACCTCTAAAATCCCTTAACCCTTCAAAACTAAACCCTAATACAACATAGTTAACCCAAACATAAATGATATAATGAATAAATAATTTTGAAAAAGTGGCATTTTTGCAAAAATTGTAAAAAGATGGCATTTGAAAAATGATATTTTTTTAAATTTCTCGAAAACTTTCTCAAGAAAGGAATTTAACTCTTTGAGTGATGCAGGCATTGATTCTTCATTGAAAAACATGAATCTTTGAGTGATGGAGGAATTGATTCACCGTCCATTTTTTTAGAAGAATTCTTTTGCACCAAATATTCTACAAATCCACTTCTCACTAAAGATTAGTTAAAATCCAACCGTCGATCACAAAACTAACAAATTGCGTCAAAAACATTAATACTAGGGCAAAACATTAGGACAATAGTGTCAGTCAGT